ATCAATATTGGCATAGTCAATATATATATATATATATATATATATATATATATATATATATATATATATATATAGTCTTATATTTGAAATTGGTCTGAGGTCCCCCAAAATCTCAGATTCGGCCTTGCATCAATCCATAACTTTTTATTCGATGAAGTGGCAACAGTGGTAGTGGTGGAGTGAAGTGAAGTAGTGTGAAAGAAAGTGGTGGAAAGGTTTGGGTGGTTGTTGTGAGTTGTGGGTCCGAGGCGATGACATTTTAGGTGATGGTGATAGTGGTGGAGGGCGTGGGAGAGATAAAGTATAATTTGTGTCCGAAAAATAAATTGTAATCAATTAATTTAATAATTTGTGAATGATAAATATGTACGAGTCATACATACTCCCTGCTTAACTTTTTGTAAGGGTAATTATAGTAAAATTACAGTTTTTGTTTGCTACACTGAAGTTTAATCACTTTGTTCTTTGTGACATTTATGTCCTTTACTGTTTCTATCGCATTCTTATGCTTAACCATTAATTAGTTAGCACATTTGTTCTAATGACATTTTTTTGACCAAATGGACAAATGTTTTAAACTTTTTTAGAGGGGCAAATAGGTCTTTTTGTGCAATTTTAAAATATTTTTTGGACGAAATCATTGTTAGGGACAATATGTACTAATTAATGGAATATCAATGATAAGAATGCGATGAAAAAATTGAAGCAAAATTAAAATTTAATGCATAAAATAAATTTTTGGGGTGTTAATATTACACTTTGTAAAGTTAATTAGTGCTATTTTTACATAAGTACTTTATTACCCTTACCAGTTTTCTATATTCATAAAATAATATTACATGCAAATTCAAAATTTTTATTCATTTTTAATTACATATTCACCATCAAAATATATTCTAAAATGCATTTTAGGCAGGGGGCTCAAACGGGCTCTTTATATTGCCTTTTTAAACAAAATATGTAACCAAATTAGCACTAATCTGTAATATATTAAGAAAATGTGAGAGCTCATTAAAAGGTTAAGAATGTATTTTGAAATGGTAAATTGATGGAGATTGTGCAGTTAAAAAATAAAGAAATTTTTTGAACTTACGTGTATTTTTATTTTATTAACGAATGTGTGGTTGAACAGAATGGTGATAACTAAATATTTTAGAAATAATGTGGATCAAACAATGGCTAAATATCATATTAATTGATAGTATGTTTTAACGAATTTAACTCTACTAAAATTCTATTATTTCAATAATACCTTACTTTTCGTTCTTCAATATATAGTAAATACTACAAAATTCTTGTCATGTATGAATTTTTTTTGTTATTAATTCTCAATTAATTAACATTCAATTAATATAGACTCGATGGATCTTGACTTGATAAATCTTGATCTATATTAATTTAGAATTATTATAGGTGAATTTATTTCTATTCATGTATGTAAAAAATTTAATGAGTGTTTTAAATCCATGTATTAGCAATTAATTCTTAGGTATCAAATGTAGTACAAAAGAGTTGCTCATTTGTATTATTTCGTCATCACAGAAAAATTGAATTATAGAAATTGAGTTTTGAGAGTACAATTTTCTTTTATTAAATTCCAATCTTAATTTTTATTTTTATCATTCGTTTGAAACTCATCAAATTCTCTCAACAGATCGGTATCAAATATTACTTTTCATACATTTATAAAGTATTTAAGGATAAGGTGCAATGCACGTTCAATATTAATTAGTTTTACAAAAGTAGTATTCACTAACACGGGGGTTATATTTTACTATATTTTAATTAAATGAAAAATCTTAGTCTCTTTCGTTATTATCTTCATGTCTTTAACATTTCTCTTGTCACAGTTTCCCTCCAAAAAATTTTGAAATGAGGGACATACATTTATTCACAATTTTGTATTTGTTATTTTTCTTTATCTTAAAAATTGGCGGACAAATAAGTTATTTTGTTCCCTTTTAAAGGAATTTTTGGATAGAAATAGTCAAAAGGAAAGAGATGCAATAATTATGAAATATTGAAGATAAGATGCGAATGGAAAAATATTGAATACACAAATGTATTAATGATTAAGCCCATGTTTATTTTCCATTATTTCCCCCATTAAAATGAAAAATATGACCGTTATCTATCACATCAAGCCATCATATTTGAATTTGGGAAAAAATCACAACTCAGGGATATAGAATACCCCAAATCAAAAACCCCCAATAATGATTGAAGGAAGATTCTGTTACATCTGTTTCCTATTTACCATATATAATAAGACTCCAAAATATAAAAAATCAGTAACCAAAATTCAAAAAAATCTGCCGGACTTCATTATGCAAGGCAACGAAATTGATGTTGCCGATTGATTTTACTACAAATTGGTCGATTTCATTACTCTATCAGGTCACATAGATCGATATCGATTCTATAAAAAGGAAATAATTGCCGGAGAAGCCAATCCAGGTAATAATATGAATGTTATGTTCATCGATTCGAATGTCACATTCCGAACTAAATTCCGTAACACGAATTGGTCCTAAAATCATCGTTGCAGGGGACAAGAAATCATTGCTGGCCACGGAAGTGCTGATCATCCCTGGCTAATATAATACAGGTAATAGTGTATTTTGCTGTGATCACAACTTGAAATCAACAATCACGAGACTAAATTCGTTCGTCACAAAATTAGTATAATATCTAACTTATAGGTCACAGCTGCTCATATTGTCGTTAGCTGGTTTCTCGTCACAGGTTGCTATTCAGTAGAATCGCAGTAGACATCTGTGACCCATGCGTGAACTGTATGTGTATATGTGACCTGATCTGTGAAACTGTAACCTCTCTACTGTGAAATGTGAAGTGTTTCAGCAACTATGTCCATGTATTTAGCATCAAACGTGTCATTATTCACTTCGAGCATATGCGACCTCTGTGTAACAATGTAGGAAAAGTCATATGTGACCTGATTTCTGGCTCCGTAACCCTAATTGGTTATGCGTGACCTGCTATGTGAAATTGTGACTTGACTTGTGAATATGTAACCTATCTGATGTGACATGTTTCGCCTACTATGTGTCGAGAATGTAAAATCAAACATTTCGTTATTTGTTTCGAGCATATGTGACTCCCTGTCAACTCTGTAGTCTAAATGATACCAATCTGTGACCCGGCTTGTGATTGTCTTGTCCATAACTATTTGTAACCTGGTTTGCTAATTTGTGACCTCGTTGTTGTGCAGTGTGACATGTGACATATTTCACATATGATGAAATTATTGATATTAATTCTAATTTGTAGAATGGTGTACTTGCACGTATGTTTACTGTATGGAATGCAATCCTCATTGGCGTTGGTAGCTCGTAACTGCAGTTATTTAACCCTTGTGGAAATAGTAATGACAGAATTTGCTCTGGATCCTACGAAGGTAGTCGTGTCATTGACATACATATTGAAGGAAGATTTGCCTCCTATCAGGATAAAAAATGACAATAATGTGCTATCATACGTTCTGCTAAAGGACATGGAGCGTGAACCTACTAAATATCCGATAATCGTTGACGTTGTTGAGGCAGAAATAGATAATAAATCCATCACAGTGTCAGTCAATGCGCATTCCAGTGGTGAGATGTTTATATTGCAAGACATGGCATCACACATATGCGAAGCATCAAATCAAAAAATGGGTCACATTTGTGACACTGAAGTCACAGTTGTGTCTATCGCGAATGCTAGAGAGGTAGAAGAATGAATGGTGTTCCGTGATAAAGATATTTTGAAAATGAGCCTGTCGTTTTTTACCATACGTAGCATGTTTGAGTTTATAGTTGAATAGTCCGACAAGAGAGAATATGTTGTGCGGTGTTCGAATGGTGGATGTAGTTGGATATGTAGAACGTCGATATAGGGTAAAACAGAGCTATTTAAGATTCGAAAGATTGGTAGTCACCCATGTGCATCAAATGTAGTATTGGGATCACATAGACAAGTGTCATCTAAGGTTGTGTAATCTACAATTAAGTATAAGTACACATCGTCTTGTACTATATATACACCAAAGGACATATGCAGTGACATGTTGAATACTTATGGGGTTTATCCGAGTTATTCAAAAGTTTGGAGATCTCGCGAGCAAACTTTGAAAATGATTAGGGGTGACCCAACCGAATCATTTGGTATGTTGCCAAGCTTCTTCTACATGCTCCGACAGAAAAATTCTGGTACGGTCATAGAAATAGCGGTTGATAGTCACATTAAGTTTAGATATTACTTTATGGTACTAGGTGCATCAATACGAGGATGTGAGCATTGTAGACCGATGATTGTTGTTGATCGTACATACTTGAATGGTAAATATGGAGGTACACTTTTCACAGCATGTACACAAGATGCAAATAATAGTATATTCATTCTTCCTTTTGGAATTGGAGACAATGAGAACGACAAATTTTGGAGATGATTTTTCGATAAGTTGAAGAAAGCTTACGGAAACAGAGAAGGGTTGTGTTTTGTGTCAGACCGTCACCCTAGTATAAAGAATGCAATAGAACATGTGTATCCGGGAGCCTGTCACGGTATTTGTTCTTATCATTTGTTGCAAAATCTAAAATCATATTATGGAAGTCAGGCTAAAACATTACACAAGCATTCAATTCGGCTGTCCGTGCTTACACGTTGGAAGAATATGATCATAACATGTCTCTACTGACGACGATGAATGAGAAGATAATTTCTTACTTGGTAGTGTAATTAGTCTTATTTCATTTCACATACACATAAATGGTTATATATGGTATTTACATAATGTTCATCGAATTGATTTAAGTTTGCAGGCTGATGTTGGACCTGAAAAGTAGTCACGAATACATATTCCAACAAACAGGTATTCTGCAATAACATCAAACATTGTGGAATCGGTCAACGCGATCATGAAGGCAGCCAAAAATTTCCCTATTGTATCCTTACTAGAGTCATTATGGCAAACCATACAATCCTAGTTTTGTAGACACATGGATGATGCACATGGAACTTTCACAAAGTTGTCGAGCAAGTACGAGAAAGAAATTAGGAAAATGAGCATGGATTTGAGGAACTTGAAGGTAATTTTTTATATTTTAACATTAAGATGTATATGTGACCCAATGTAAGTGTCAGTATCTTGAACTGTAATGTATCAAATCTGATGTGACCTGTTTTGTGATTCCATGACATGGTTGGTAAACTAAGTTTGAAGTTCCGTATTCTGTTTCATAGCTATCTGTGAATGGAACAAATTTGTGTAACCTGATATCTAAAACTGTGACCTAAGTGATGTGGTATGTGATGTAACTGTGTATTCTCTGTCAACTCGGTATTCTGATGCATGTCTATTTGCCAAATGAGGTCTGGACCGCATATATAACATGCTTCCTGAATCTGTAAATGAACTCAGGAATATGAGTCATTCGTGCGTGATCGACACGTTGGAGTATGTGTGACTTGTATTCAACTACACGTGACCTGACTGTTGTTATATGCACGCAGGTATCTCCTTCAAACCAGACAGTATTTTCTGTCAGCAACGAAAGGTCAACGTTTGTCGTCGATATTGAGCAACGAACATGCACTTGCAGGATTCTACAAGTTGATTTGTTACCGTGTCCACACGCTTTGGCTGTAATTGCAAACACAAGAAAATATCCATATGATTATTGTTCCTATTATTACACAAGAGATACGTACTTGAATGCACACCAAGATTCTGTATATCCCATTGGAAATCAAGAGGAATGGATAGTGCCAAAAGAAGTATAGCTAGAAATAGTGTTACCTCCTAACCAGAAGAGGAGTTGTGGAAGACCTACGGAGAAAAGCAAGAGATCATCCAGAGAAGGGAGATCGACGGCAAAATGCAAACGTTGTGGAGGACAGGGTCACAACCGTAGGAGATGCTCCAGCTTGGCTCCATTACTCTAAAATGACCGATAGAATTACATACAAATATTTCATAGATAGGTGATATTCTTTTAAGGATAATGTTCATTTTAAATATTCTTTTTAAAGAATGCATTCAGATTGATCAACTAACAGTTAATTGTCTATCAACTTTGGAGTCAAAATAATAATTCTCTGAGATTTGGACCATATCTGTAACCTGATACCAGATCTATGACTTGTGTGCTATGACCTGTGATGTGTGACATGCCATATGAAAAAGTTACCTGATTTGTGAATATGTAACTTGAAATGAGAATATGTGACCTGAAGTGTGGACACATATGGGTTACATAAATCCTAATATCTGTAACCCATGTGCTGTGATATGTGAAGTATCGTATGAAAGGTATGTGTAACGTGATATGTAAATCTGTGACCAAGTTCAGAAACCAACTGTGACCTGTCTGCTGTACCATATGACATGTTTCATCAACTACGTAACGCTGTTAAAATTAAAGGATCTGTATAACTGACACAATTTATATAAAAATAGCATTAAAATATAATCGAAGATGGATAAATCATGAACCTAAACACGTTAATATCCTTTATTGCAAATCAAATGTTACGAGTTACTATTCATTACATGAACCTCTATATGACCAAACACATATAATGTTCATAACATTTACAAACTAAATCCTTGTCTTCACTAACAAATCTAAAGTCACTTTTTATTCTAGAACAAGTGTTTCTCCTGTCATAGGCTGATTCACTTTCTTTGTGTAAACCTGCCGGTGTTTGTAAAGCAGCGTAGCGATATCCATTCTGAACTTACTTGCATCAAACTTCTTGAGAATGGAACATCTACCACCACAGATAAGATACAACGCATATAACACCACGAATATTTCGCAATCATGACTGCAGAACATATGACAGACTGTTATGAATGAATCCATCAAAATGATATACGCATTGTAAATCTTAGTCACAAACTTACCCATTTGTTTGCTGGGGGAGTGTGTCATCGATGATCACTTTCAATTCTTTGGTTTCTGGCTCGTGATAATCAAGATCCTTCTTTGAAATTCCCAAGGCATTCATTAGAGTAGGCAATACCTTCACATACGGCTCAATACCTTGCAAAACCTTCCAGTCACGGTAAGATTTATCTACCGAGTTGAACACAGTTAAGGTATGACTTCTAAATTGTAACAGGCCAAACATCCAATGTGCTTTGTTAGTGGGTATGATCGGCATGAACATATAGTCAACATAGGCCTAGGGTGAGCTAAAAGGGAAGCTGTGACCTGTTACAACCTCAAGCAGGCTCGACTCTGATATCAGAACATTTGGGTCCTTCATGAAGGCAGGAAAAATATCTTTTATTTTACTCTGGAACCATGAGTTTGTAGCAGTGGCTCTATATTTCACATTTTTGCCAAATTTTGCTATCTGGCGAATGAAGTAGAAGCAGGCATCCATGTACTGTTTCAATGAGAAGAAAAGATGTAAGCATTGCGTACTCCAGATTCAAATACGAATATGAAATGTGACCTGTTTGTATCAAATGTGACTCTGTGACTACTTACAACATGAAATGTGGCCTGTTTGTATCATCTCTGATACTCTTAACGAGTATGAAAGAAATCAGAATTCTAAAAAAAGTAATGTAACTTAATTGAGTGTGTAAACGTAATCGTACCTCACCACTCAGTGATGACTCCGAATTTATAAGCTCGTGGAACCAAGTCTTCTGACCTACTGGGAATGAACCAATTAGAAAAACAGGCTTGATGGCATTGTCTTCCTTGCTAAACTTTTTCATGTGACCGACACTAAAGGTTACATTATTTTGTCAAACTGTGTATTGAGTAATTTTTCACAGATAGGTACGAAATGCACTTACTTATTTTTTGGTTTGTACCCCCTCTGGAACCAACCCATGAAGGTCGATTTGTCAACCTCGTCAACATTATCTTTGTAATCCTCGAAAACAACAACATTATCATCGTGTTTGAATAATTTCCCTCTCTCCTGTCCGGCAACAAAAGGAAACTGCAATACCCTCGATGACCTTAAAACCCGCTTAACTGGTAATTTCGAGGTTGGTTCAACAGTAGGTGGTCCCTGTATGTTATTGCGGTAGGTTACAAATTGATTGAAATTACGGCACATGAGCTGTCTGTGGCATAGTTTGTAAGTGTGTGTGGTCTGTCACCTATACATGTGACCTAGTCTGAATGTGTCTGTGATATGTGACATATGATTGGAAGATAGTTTGGAAGGGTTGTGGCCTGTGACCCATAAATATAACATGATTTGGAATGTATGTTATCTCTGACCTATGAATAGGACATGGGATGAAGGAATCTATGATCTGTTACCTAACAATGTGACATGATTTGGAATCGTGTTTAATCTGTGACCTATGAATGAGACATGGTTTGAAGGTATCTGTGCTCTATGATCCATGACTGGAACATGTGTTGGTATTATGTATGATTTGTGACCTATAAAAGAGACATTGTTTGGAATGTCTGTGAAATATAACCTATGAATAGGACATGATCTGAAGTGTGTGTTATCTGTGACCTAATAATATAACATGGTTTGGAGGTATGTGTGATTTGAGATCTACAACTACTAGAACATGTAAATACCTCATTCGCAACAGTCTTTGTTGCCATCAACACATCGGATATAATGGAATCTACCCTCTTCTGAGTTTCCTCCGAATGCAAAACATTGGATGAGGTTAATGCAATCCACAAATCAAATAATGGTGGCTCAAGAGAAAAGAGAAGATCATCACATGGGTCCATTTTGCCTTTCCCTTTTCTGTCGACGTTTGATACCACTTTTTTCATCTACATGTTCAATGGGAAATGTCAAAATAAACTATGTTCTTTTAAAAAATGTGAAATATATCAAACGACTTCCTCCTAAGTCTTGTCAAATCCACCAGCCACATGATGTTCTTGATCTCCAACTCTAGGAGCTTCTGTTTGTCCTACTCCACGCTCGCTTGTCTTGTCGCCAGACCGTCTAATAATATCTTCCATTGCACTGGATATCATTGTTGACACAGACTCAAATAGAAACTGCATGTTCGTCCAAATATCCATCAGGTCATTTTTAATACAGGCTTGCATTTGTACAATGTCATCCATTTTGTTAGTCTCCTCTTCGTTCAAGGATGATATATGTGACTTGATCTCTTCAAGCTCCGCGTTCAACACTTTATTATCCACTTGGAGTTCGGATACTTGCACATGCAACACCTCAAAAGCCTGACAAAAATGAATAACTGATTATTATATGTTGCTTGCGACATATTTGTGACCAACCATCAACATACAATGCACATTGGTCTATCTGTGACCTGGTGTGTATAAAAATGTGACATAGGAAATATTGATGTGTGACCAATGATGGAAATATTGAGAGCTGACTAACATAACAACTTACGTCATCCCTTTGTGCCCCATGAGATTGTGGCTCCTTTTGAGAATGATGAGCGCCTATTGGACCTTCAACAACTGGGGATTTTCCACAAGCGAATGGCTTCTTCCGTCTTGGAGGAGGAGCAACAAAATCATCATCATCATCTGAAGAGTGAGCTTGTCCAATATTACTATCCATCAACGGTAGCACTGATGGAACCGATTTCCCACTAGCACCAGCATCTTCAACAGACCTCTCCGTCCTGCGCTTGGTTCTTCTTCGGTTCTCGGTTGAGGACGTCGACTGGATTGACTTGTTTATTGGACTCCGTTCATGTATGGCATCGCCATTTCACTTTCCAACGGTTCCAAGTCACAAATCACAATCTGCACTACAATATGTTGTCTATATGAATGCAAAGTCAAAAATTCAGTATTAATTGCATGATCTTCACTCAGGTCACATATTCACAACAAACTTCAGTCTCATTCACATATTAAGATCACATTTAGAGCCCAAATCCCCATTGCAGTAAGGTCACATGCAATCATATCCATTTGCATTTACGTCACAGATTCCCAATATATGCTTATTCGTGAATAGACAACAGATTATTCGTAACATCGAAAATGAAAAATCAAATGAATAAACATTCTGCGTTCAAAATGGCAAACCCTACCCCATTCCAACGACGAAACGAATTCAACAGATTTCAAGGTCACAGATTTTCAATACGTCTTCAATACATGTTACCCAACGATTATTCAATCAATACTCGTCACTTAATGTATTAACAAAACATAAAAATCAACATGTCATATTCGATTGGACTTTTCGCAAGGTCACAGACAACGCCGCATACTTTTTCATATGGGATTTCGTTGGGCTGTCCTCATGCTTCCTCTTTCCTCTCCTTTCTGGCGTGGCATGTATGTTTATCGCCTTGGGTTTAGTCATTTTTTTGTCGACTGTAAAATGGGAAGTTTTTTGACAGAGTGACGGAGTAAAGGAAGAATATACTCAGTTCGCTTTGGGTATGTGGCGAAGATTAGTTACTTGACAGGCCGGAGCCGAATAACTAACTAGAAATATTCGTGAGGTTGGTAACTGTTGGAGTAATTTATATGTTAGATTGTGCTTCAAAATTATATAATCTATCAAATATAATTTTTAAAATTAATTTTTATAAAGTAATATGATTTTTTTTTTTAGTAAAGTAATAATGGAGGCTCATGTCTTGAGCCTCCATAATAATGGAGGCATCATGCCGATGCCTCCATAATTGTTATGGAGGCTCCAGACTCTGTAACATATTATATTATAAAATTAATAAAAATTTAATTATTTTTTATTTTTTAGTACTATTATATTTTACCTTTCAAAAAAAATCATAAAAACATATTACTTTAGAAAAATTATATTTGATAGATTATGTAATTTTGAAGCACAATCTAACATATTAAGATTAGAATTATTTCATGATAAAAATGAAATGGTAATAAAAACTCATTGCTCGAAAAATAAATATATTCATTTGTTAACATGTTTGGTTTTCATTTTTTAAAATTTATTTTTCTTCAAACATATTTTCAATTATATATTTATGAAATTCACACTTTTGCTCTTGAATTAACCCCCTCAATAAATTATTATTTAACGGAGGCTCATGCTTAAACCTCCATAACATTACTTTATTAAAAAAAAAATCATAAAAACATATTACTTTATAAAAATTAATTTTAAAAATTATATTTGATAGATTATGTAATTTTGAAGCACAATCTAACATATTAAGATTAGAATCATTTCACGATAAAAATGAAATGGTAATAAAAATTTATTTTTCAAAAAATAAATATATTCATTTGTTAACATGTTTGGTCTTCATTTTTTAAAATTTATTTTTCTTCAAACATATTTTCAATCATATATTTATGGAATTCACACTTTCGCTCTTAAATTAGTGTGGAGAAATAGAGAGGCATGACTGTAGCGTGTAAAAATGGAGAAAGAATAAAGAGGGCTCTATGACATAATCCTCCACGCCGCGTAAATTGAGGAAAAGTAACAAAGTCACTGTATCAAACACGTAAGATAAACGACGTCGTTGCTTTCTCTCAATAAAAAAAAAAAGCTATAGTGAGACAAAATGGAAGAATCTACTGTTCTTTCTACAATAATGAAATATTGTCCTTTTTATATAGTAGTGATAAGATTATTCTTCTTGTACATTGGGGGTGCCATAAGGGTGTCCTCCAGGCGCCCCTTCAATAGGGGGTGCTGGTAATGGACACCCTCATGGCACCCCCAATGTACTCATAGCACTACCCATAAATATATTCTCAATACAATTTCAAAAATTTAAAAATCACTATATTCATGTCCTCGTTAAATTTATCAATTAAACATTATAGATCCATACAATTTTTATATATTCATCTCATTATAAATATATTCCCAATACAATTTTAAAAATTTAAAAATCACTATATTCATCCAATCACTATCAACTTTAATCTGGTTCTTATTTTTATTTTCTATATTATCATGTTAGTACTTTGATATTTAGTTATAAAGGTTAGTAAATCTCTTTTCTTGAATTTATATGATTCTATCAAGAGTATACTGTTCAAACAACCAAACGAATCCCACCTCAACTCAAATGTTAATCATTTTTTTATTAGCTCATAAATTTGGTTGTTTATATTTTGATTGATAATTTTAAGTTTGCTTTCTTTTGTAATGTAAAAATTTTTGGACGGGGATTGAAACTTATTTTGAAATTTCTCGTATATTTTCATCTATTAAATCAATACTTAAAAAAAAAATTCCATTTTTTTTTTCCATATCGTGGAAGAATTGTTGATTTTTTTATTTTAAATTTTCGTTGAAAATGATATCTTATGATTAGGGTTTACGATTTTAGATCAAGATGGCTTTTTTTTTTTTTCTTTTTTCTTTTTGGCTTGTAAGCTCGTAATTTTGGTTGTTTGTATTTTGATCGATAATTTTAAGTTTGTTTCCTTTTATAACATAAGAATATTTGAACAGGTATTAAAATTTATTTTGAAATTTCTCTTATATTTTCACATGTCAAACCAATACTTAAAAAAAGTGTAAAAAATAATATATTCATTTTTCACATCATGAAAGAATTATAACTCTAATATTGTGTTGATTTTTTTTTTTTAATTTCTCCTGAAGAGGATATTTTATGATTTTAGATGAAGATGGTTTTTTTTTTTAATTTATTTTTTGCTTATAAGTTCATAAATTTTGTTGTTTGTGTTTCAGTTAATAATTTTAAGTTTGTTCCTTTTGTAATGTAAGAATATTTGGACATATATTGAAACTTATTTTGAAATGTCTCGTATATTTTCTTCTGTCAAACCAATACATCAAAAAATATAAAAAAAAATTCCATTTTTCATATAATTCTAATATATATATATATATATATTTTTTTTTTAATTTAGTGAAAGATTATATTTTATTATTAGGGCTTTATGATTTTAGATGAAGATGGTATTTTATTATTATTAGGACCTTGTTTGATACTCATTTTTCTCAAAATAAATTTTTCTTTTTAACCACACATTTTTCAATAAAAAAAATTACACACAAAACTAAAACCTTTTTTTTTTTAACCATACATTCTTCACCAATTAACTATTTCAAAATGTATTTTTACTTAAAAATGGAAAACAAACATGGGCTAGAATTTTAGTTAAACATAAACTCTAAAAGATTATAAAAATGTCTAAAAGAACTTATGAAATAAATAATAATGAACGAAGTTAGAACGATATATTTTTATTTATATCTATTTAGGTAAATTTGTATAAGATAAAAAGCATAATATAATTATATTTTTAAAATTAAATGTATATGTAAAAATTGTGAATGTAAATAATGGTACCTTTTGAAATAAAAGAATATTAAACCGAGGAATCAACATTTTTACAGATTTACTCGCTCATCTTCCTATCACTCTCACCTACCCATCCACAAATAAAAGATGAATAAATATAAGCCGTAGTGTGGGGGTTCGATTCCTGAAATATGGAATTGGACTCTTTATAAGCGTAGTGTACAAATAGCTCTTATTTACTGACATGTTGGTGTACATCTTGCAATTTACCTCCCTCACAAAACTCTAGGAACGAGTCGATAGAGCTGTCAACGCTGGGGTTTCAACCTTTTTTTTTTAAAAGACAAATAAATATAATTAAAAATTAAACAAATCTAGGACGTCAAACTGTCTCGAATTTTCTTCTTGTGCAAATTTCAGATTTGCAATCAAAACCCCCAAAATTCCCCCTTCATCCCTGAAAATTCTAGTCCAACCACCTGAAAACCCTAATTGCCATGAGAGAAACTCGCAGGTTCTCTGTCCATCTCGCTCTCGGCGGTGGCCCAGGTACAATACACAGTTTATAAATATTTGTGCGTGTTCATTTTACACAAACATGTTTATAATGTAAAAGATCATGCACAAACTCGATATCATTTTCAGGTGAATGTTGAATCATATCTAGAATTAGAGGCCAATATTGATCTGAGAGTACAATCTCATGTGATTTTTATGAATTCAAAATCCTTTGATGATTTATTACAAGTAATATTTCTGAGCATGTTCATATTTCCATTTGGATGCAGTTGCCGATGTTTTATTGTGGAAGAAATGGTGTGGCAGTGTTTCTCTGCTCGTAGGTTCAACAGCCCTTTGGTTCCTATTTGAAAGAGCGGGCTATAATCTCTTATCGTTTATATCAAATGTCCTATTGTTATTGGTTGCGATCTTGTTCTTCTGGGCTAAATCTGCATCACTTCTCAATAGGTAAACATACATACATGCATAAATTCACACACACACATATATACTGATTTGCGTTTTAATGGATCTAGTTACTGCGCTCTGAATACTTCTTCGGTTTATATTTCTACTATTTCTAGACTAACTGTATTTGGCTAAGAAGTATTTAAATATTATGATTGGCCGAAATCACATGATGAGTTCTTAATTGTTACGCTAGAATCTGTTTTACGTGTCTGCCCTTGGCTTGTGCTTTGAATTTTTGTGAGGGTGTCATATAGAAGAGGTTTAATTAATTTGTCCTAATCTGTTTATCAGATTTATTTTAAGCATTTAATGAATGAATTGTCATTTGTGTGAGCGTAGACCTTTGCCGCCTCTCCCTAATCTGGAGTTATCAGAAGAAATTGCTATCAAGACTGCTGATGAGATGCGAGTCTGGGTAAATTATGCATTGTCAATTGCGCATGACATTGCAATTGGTGGAAACTTGAGACTCTTTATTCAGGTGTGGTGCTTGTAATCTTTTTGTCCTGAATTAGATTCTGGTTTCTCAATCTTAAGTATGCATACGAATGATCATGGGGTATTTCCATTCTATATGGTTTTGCTACATAGGTTACTTTGGGTTCATGGTTTATTTCCTGCATTGGCGGTTTCTTCAACTTACTTACCCTGCTCTACATTGGTGAGGCTTTTCTGAATTCTCTGGATGCTCTATGTTCTGTGTTATTAATATTAGTAATGTGGTTTTTCCCATCATTTTTATCTCCTCAGGTATTCTTCTTAGTTTATCACTTCCTCTATTGTACGACAAGTACCAAAATCAAATTGATGACAAGCTGACTGTAGCACACAACATCGTTCAGACACAATACCGTAAAATTGATTATATGGTACTGAGAAAGATATCAACGCCTTCAGACGAGGACAAAAAGATCCAGTAGACTAACTGTAACCTCTCTCTCTCTCTCTCTCTCTCTCTGTGTGTGAGTGTGTGTGCATGCTTGGGTTTTAGATGATTGATTAATGGTGTAAGTACGTGAATTCTCCTCTCTTTTTTCAATCAAGATGGAGAGTATGAGAGTGTTGGTATTTTATAATTCAAGTTATATATATATATATATATATATATATATATATATATATATAGTGTGTTCAATATCATCTTTTGTTGCATTGTTGCGTGTTACAATTGATTGTTCAATGAAATCATCAACAGAGTTTGAAATTTCTCTAAACAAATTCACGAATTATGTGAGAATTTGCCCCTAAACAGCCAATGTGTTTTTTTGGAGCACATGTACCCCTGGGCACAAATCTTGGAACCTTGTGTGTGGGCTTGCACTTCACATTGTAATAAGTTTGTTATTGCTGCTCAGCGATATACTTATGTGCTTGGCAAAGTTCTTTACTGCCTTTAATGTAAAATTTTGTGAATCATTTGTCTTGGCAGAACATATTGTGAAGAAGTGATTGCATACTAAATGTGGTTCCATCTCTTGGTTATGAAATTTCATGTCTAAGAGAGAAGAATTCATGAAAAATATCCAACAATTGCTATGCATAGCTTTAAAAGACCGCGATATAAAATTAGTGTTCAAATCGTGTTGAATTTTTGATTGCACATTTAGATGAAATTCTTTGTTGTAACTTGAGTAAGTTTCAATTGCCAATTTAGATGGCAAGTTTTTATTTTGGACTTCAATTAAAATTTCAAGGTATTAAATTTATCTTTGGTACGCAATATATTGAGGTGGTGGACAATTTTATTGCTCATTATTTTGTAAAAAAGGATGAAATAGCACCTGTAAGAGCTATTATGGCTGTTAATTATGCTAAGCATACTTCACTGGAATTATATATTACTCATTTGTTACTGTTGTAAAATTCATTTGTTTTTTGTTGGATTTGGTGGGGGTAACTGACCGCTTGTGCAGTTTCTCAAATTTGGGTTTATTGCTAACCTTTGTCAAATTTTAAGGTGAAATTTGCTAATATAACTTGCCCCTTCAAGTTTCCTTCTAAACCATGTTCCTAGATACCTAAAATAATCAGTCTTTGGGACAATATGATGGAAATATATAAAAGAAATTTCTAGTTTTGATCCTTTGCTGGATAAGGTATATATAATATTTTGCTGAAATCCTTCAAATGTTTCAGGTTGTTTAATTTTAGTTACAATAGTTTATGTAAATTCTATTTCTACTGCAAATTTCCTGTTCATGTAATAGTTCTTAGTCACTTAAAATTAAATCCCAATACTAGAAAAATTGTATGCTTTTGCAGAACATTGGTTCTTTTTAGCCTAGTGCATTTATTCGTGAATTTTATATTGCTTCACCACCAAAGTCTCCCCTTTTATACTCCGTCTCTTATACTAAAAATGACTCTCTCTCCTTGCCTGAATGTTATAGTTTTCAAATTTTTGCATTTTCATTTTATGCTTCTACTTTTTATGTAATGCCTTGTGACACCGACATAAATGTTGGATAAAATTGGCGTTGTGTTTATCGACTGGGAGAGTGGGAGTTATGAAAAATGTAATGAAAAGCAACCAAGAGGTGCCTTCTCCTGGTAAACAATTGGAAAAATATGTGAATCTCAGTTTTTGGTTCATTGGTTTTGTTTGTACTGAACAATTTGATGAACTGCTCATTTTTCAGTCTTTTAATGTCATATTATTTGCAGGTTGGTTAACATCGACGTTCAGCACCAGCCTGTCACTTGGGAAACCGCTAACCTTACATTTCATTATTGTGGCACATTTAGTTAGTTTTGGTAATTTCTAGTCCTTGTGGCTCTTTGTACCACTGGACATAAATCTCATGGCGATAATAGTTTTCATTAGGAACATGAAAGAGTTTTCATTAGGAACATGAAAGTTGATGAGACTGGGACGAGAATTGTGCTTATTGGAAAGCATCAATTAGTGAATATCACAAGTCTATATGGATGATTGCAGATCTGGTTATGCTACGTGGCTAGTACTGTTTGTACTGTTGTATTTGCTTTGTGGTGTGAATGGCCGTATACATGTTTCTACATTCCGAGGGCATTAATATGTGTTTTAGTGTAAATAAATACAATTGCCTTCACGATTCAGATCATTTTAGGTGTACTAGATAAGATTACATAAAGCGTGAGCTATAACGAAGAAAAATTGGTATATGTCTCAAGTCGAGTGTAGTGTTTTTCAAGTCTCGCATAGTTTTGACAAATAACTATATTAAAATGAAGGGCATGCTAGCTCAAAATAAAAGATTTTGGCCTGAGAATGAGTATCTGATTATAATAGGGGAATGATGCTTTATATATCTCTAGATACACTCAAATATGAGCTGCTATGCATGCTGTCTAATTTACACTATTGGGAAATGACTGTTTAAGACATGCTTAAATGTGCAGGAATTGTTGTTTGCAAATTGTTCGGATTTTGAAACTGGGTAATGCTACTCTACCACCCAGTCAATTCTGTTCTACTTAATCCCTCTTTCTCTTTCATGGCCCTAGTCTAGGTGGTAACGAGTTCCTTGGTTTAACGTCCAATGCTTATTGCAATGTCATTTGGACAATGAATTAAGAACTTACTGCCACTGAAACGAATAACATTATTCATTCCTTTAAATGTGGCAGGTATGGTGCTTGGTGAATCAATTGAAATGATAGCCTTGTCATATTTTCATCGTCGGAAATTTAACACAGACACATTGAACTTGTGACCAACTAGGTTTGATCTGGTAATGGGATTTTGAAAATGATCTCGTTTAACTTCATAGGAGATCAGAAACTTGTAGATTTCACTAATTATTAATATCCAATAAAGAAATTTCTTTTACCTCTTCAAAATGTTGGGCTCACAAAATTCCCTGTAGATCTCTCACGTGAAAATTTTCTAGTTCAATATCGTGGAAGTGAATAGGCATGATGAATTCTTGTTGAGTTTTCTGGTGATTACTTGTCTATTTGAAATTGTTGAATCCTGCTACTAGCTCCCTCTATGTTTATTTTTACTCTTTGTGTTTGTATTTAAATTGATTAATCTGTTATCTATCAGTATACTGATATTTTATCGAGCTACGAATAGGAAATTAAACTAAACCCTGTTTGGTACATTTATTTAAAATTTATTTTCAACAATATATTCTTTGACTAAAATAATTTTCATAATTTTTCTATAACACGTTCTATCTTAATTCAATTTTTACAAAATTCATTAAAAAAAATGTACATCAAACATTTTCTAAATTATTTACATGTGATGTTTTCTTGTAAAGTCCAATTAAAAGCCAATCTTCAAGGCCTCTTTCATAATGTGGAAATTACACAAAACCATACATTAAAAATCCAACATTCTAAAATCAGATGGCAAGTTTAACAATTCAAAAATCAGAAATTTTATTTTAATTAATATTTCTATAAAATAAATATCATTACTCACAAACCCTAACTCTCTCTCACATTTCTCCATTCTACCCTAAAACACCTGTCGCCGTCTCCTTCTCTCTCTGAACCTTTTCGTTCTTTTCACCAGAGAGTGCTACCCTTCGCCGCCATCAACCACTGTGCCATCGCTGAACACTCAGATCTCGCTGCGGGCAGAGGCGAACAGCGAGCTCAGCGTCGCAGAGCACGACGAGATCTGAGCGTCGCTATACGTGGTGGCAGAATGGATTGTGTGGTTTGTGGCGTTTCTTTTTGTGTTGTTTTTGTGGCAGTTTTGTGTTTTTTTTAACGATTTTGTGGTAATTTTTGAGGTGGTTTTGTGGTGGTGGACGTGATGGTGATGGTGATGGTGATTATGGTGTTGGTGGTGGCACTCGCGATCTAGTGATGCCACGATTGATGGTTTCAAAGTTTGGTGTGGTGGTGGTGTGCTTAACTGTGGTGGTGGGTGAAACTTTGCTGTGGCGGTGGTTTTGCTGGCAGTCTGGTCGTGGCGGGTGATGGTTGAGGTTGGCGTTGGCGGTGATGATCGACAGTGGTGGTCGTGGTGATTGTGGAATGTTGGTGTTCTGCGATGTGTTGAGGTGGTGATGGTTCTGGTGGGTGGAACTAGCTGAAAAATTACGCTTGGGTGGTGTTGGTGAGGTTGTGAATTGAGCATTGTTAGTGTGTTTGGTAGCAGTGGTTGTGGTGGTTTTTGGCGACAGTGGAGGTTGTTGGTTTTGGAGTTTGGCGTGTGGTGGTGGTGTGATTACTGAGTCAGGTTGTCGTGGTGGGTGGTGGTCGGGGTAGATGGGATGTTGGGGGTGTTTGTGACCAGTAATTTGTATCTAATAATAACATATAACCTAAAAAATGCAATTGTGACCATAATTTATTAAGTTGTGACCAATAAAAATTTTGATTTTGTAATTAATCAATGAATTGTGACTTATGAAATTTTTGATTTGTGATCGTAAAAAATTTGATTTTGTGAACGATCAATGAATTGTGACTTATAAAATTTTTGATTTGTGACTAACAAATTAAATGTGGCCAATAAAAAATTTGATTTTGTGACCAATCAATGAATTGTGACCTATGAAACTTTTGATTTGTGATCGACAAATGAGTTGTGACCAATAAAAATTTTGATTTGTGACCGATCAATGAATTGCGACCTATGAAAATTTTGATCTGTGATCGACCAATTTATTGTGGCCTATAGAATTTTGAATTTGTGACTTACCATTAATTTGTGACCAATAAAAGTATCTGTGACCTATAAAATTTTTGATTCGTGATCGAAAAATAATATGTGACCTATAAAATTTGTGTTTGTGACTTATAATTTATTGAGTTGTGACTGAAAAATTAATCTGTGACCTATAAAATTTTTGATTCGTGATCGAAAAATAATATGTGACCTATAAAATTTGTATTTGTAATCGAAAAATAAGTTGTGACCAATAATATGATAAGTCGTGACTCAAAATTAATCCGTGACTAATTATTTTTGGATTTGTGACCAATAAACAAACTGTGACTTACAAAATTTTTGAATTGTAATCGTAAAAAAATTTTGTGACATAAAATTTTTGATTTGCGACCAAAAAATAATAAGTAACTAATTATATTGTTAATTTGTGACCAAATTGTATAGATCCGTGACCTAAATATATTTAATTAATAAAATAATTAATTAACTAATTAAATTATAAATAATTTTTAATAAAAATCTGATTTTAGAAATTTGAAACTTGTTTTTTTGTTTTTGAAATGTGCCATAATTAATTTCTTAGTTATGAAATTTTTCCTTTTATAATTAACTAGTTTTTAGCCATGCAATGCATGGCCTGAATATTTTTTGACGGTGATATTAGTGTGTTGACTTACTTGAGTATTAAGTATTCATGAGGGAGAATTACATTGAATAAATTTTTGGGAAGCAAAGAAAATATTTAGTTGGTGCATAAGGAAGTTTGAAAAAAAAAAAACAGTAAAAACAAAGGGCAAACTATATGAAGAAAAGTAGAAGATATGTTAACTTTGGATATAAAATATCGAAAGTAGTTAAAAATAATAATTTTTGTTATGGATTTTGAAGCAGACTTTTTATTGAGATTAACTTTAGAAGGAACAACTTTTGTAGTGGTATCTTTCAATGGAAAAATAAATAAAATAAAAGGTAAAAAGCACTTACCTTTTGCAGAGGAGTGTATAATGCTAGCAAGAAGAATGAACCTTACAAAGGAATATATATATATATATATAGATACACACACACACACTAAGTTTCGCAGTTGAAGGTGATAATTTATACAAGATTTGAATTTCATTATTGCTACTCAAACAAGGCCTTCTAATTTCAAACACATAAAGTGGAAATTGAGAAGTTCAAGCACGATCAGGAGAACATGAAAAAAATTCATCTATACGACAAAAGGTGCAATGTAGTCAGAAAAAAAATAGCTTTACAAATAGAATGTTGATATTTCAATACAGGATTATTGTACAGAAATGATTTCACAATTGTTTAATAGATACCTAAATCCTCAAATGAAGCAACTATAAAAATTGAGGATTCACCTTTCCAGCACTATATCAATTCCATATAAATAACCACAGTTGGCTTTATGGAGCTTTTCTTTCAAATTCTCGATCTAGTCTTACGGATTATGAGAAGACAATATTTACAAAAGAAAAGTATTTAAATTTCATTTCAATTCAAAAGCACCATGAGAAATCCATAAAATAGCTCAAACAGTGATAGACGAACAACTCCAAGTCTTGATACTCATGGCACCCTGAGGGTGATCTGACAATATTTATATGACCAAGGATTGGTTCACATTAGGGACTTTATTATTGGTTCGTACCCACCAATGAGACTTTCTTAACACTCAGGTACATGTGAAACACTAACCTTTGGAATGCAACAAAAATAAATCAATGTGCAGTTGACCACTATGAACACCTAAGTGGTATCTACATGTTATAATATAGCCTTGAGGCATGAGCAGCACGAGTTGTAGACTAGTTTGGAGTGGGCCTAAAAGACATACCAAGTAGAAACTGGCAGTGCGCCATTGCTCATTGCAGGAACTGGGCATCGCATTTTGGAGATAGCATTGATTGCTATCTTGTTGGAGAGAAAAGATAGGTCCCGTTTGGTAGCAATTTTTTTTCAAAATGCATTTTTCTCTCTTTTCTTTTCAACTACACATTCTTTATTAAAATAATATTACACATAAATAAAAAACTTTTCCTTATTTCTCAACCACCCATTTCACATCAATTTACTATTCTAAAATGTATTTTTACATAGAAATACCTATCAAACACTCCCATAATAAAATATGAGCTCAACCTTTACTATCGTTATCTTTTCCATTTTTTGTTATTTGTTGTATTATTGAATTCATTTGCCAGAAGCCAGAAGTACATACGGCATAAATACTACCTGAAGAGCCTTTACCATGCCATCCATTATTTTAGGTTTAATAAGAGGTTCATCCATTTGAATACAACATTGTACTTGTTCTGAAGCTTTTGATGTACTTCATTACAATGCTCTGTGCTTAGAAAATTTACAAAAGCAAAAAATTAGCAATATATCCAACCAATGAAGGTTGTGATTGACCAATAAAGGATTCGTCACTCTTAGATAGTAGGAGATTAT